TGTTTGGGATGCTCTCCTTAAGGACGGACTTTGTGATACTTGGTCGTTGCAACATTTTGTCTCAAGCACCGAAGACGGCTTGGAAGGGCAGGAAGCCCCCAAACGGGGAGCAACTGAGAGATTCTGTTTTGTTTAGGATGTCTTTCTCACTCTGACTCAGATATGCAAACCGATATGTTCGGCACGATGTACCCCATTGGTGTGAAAAGGATGACCTTGCGATGTTTGAACATGCGGCTCAAAGCACGGTCCGAGAACAATAAAGGTACTTTACGGCCTAAGTATCGACTATAAAGGTACATGGAGCCTTAAGGGAAGAGCCTGTGATGTTGATATATTTCGTACACGTAGGCGTATACATGTTTATATACCTTGAGTCCATGGTTTCCGTGGTTTTATATATCTTGCTTGAAATACATCATACGGGCCAGTTTTGCCCTTTTGTAGAGGTGTGGCTCAAGCCTCGCCCTGCCCTGTCCCCCTGGCCCCCTGGTTTCTAGCTTCTAAAAACCTACCTGGACCCCGAAAGCATGTAAAATGATAGCCTTATATGGCTAAACCCAGGCCCTGAACAGTAAACCTTGCTTGGGCTTCATGGCTCCGGTTTTTGTTTCGAGCATCGCTGTGTCAGGTTTAGTCCAACGGCTTCGGGCGAAGGGTTTAGTAAACCCTAAACCCTAAACCCTAAACCCTAAACCCTAAAAGGGGTTTAGGGTTTATCGACCAGGGCAGCCTTGCAACGACTTGAAAGATCATGAAACTAAACAACCCCCCTTTCCTAAACCCCCCAACTACCCTCTAATATACCCCAAATACCCGGCTATTAAGGACCATAAGGGCTCTATTAAAGGGCCATTGGGGGGTCCTGGTTTTGAGACAGGTTCATGTTGTTCTGAAGCGGCATGTTCAGCCTCAGTCGATAGGCAGTTGGGGGCGACAGAGGAATGGGTGGATGTTTGATGACTCAAGGCCCGTCCCAGGCACAAACCTGGAGTCACGGTTTTGGAAATATGAAACAGCTGACTAGTCACGTAGACGGCACTCCGCTGTAGCAGAGCCAGGGTTTGGGTTTAGGGTTTGGGGTTTAGGGTTTAGGGTTTAGGGTTTAGGGTTTAATTTGATTGCACACGTGCTACGGACCGTAGGACTAAAAAGTAGATCCTACTGAAGCCTGGACCTGCATTCCGGTTGTTGCCGCTGCATGAGACCCGATGTGTGCGTGCCCGTGTAAGTGTGTAAGTGTGTAAGTGTCAGTTGCGCTTAAGATCGTTTTGTGGAACCTGACACTCAACAGTCTGCACAGAAGGTCTGACATGAAAGTTACAGTGAGAGTAGAGCGTGATGGCATCTTTGTCTCGCCAACGTCACCAAGTTTGCCTTGAGCCCTTGACTCCGGTTTACCCAAAGGCCCCATAGCAGTTCCTTTTTGGGATTACTTAATCGGATCCTGAATATGAACCCGAAAAGGAACTACTACTGGGGGCTATGTTTACACATCAATTGTCTGCGCCCTCTGATGCAATGTTTATTTTGGTCATTACAGTGATCAGGATCCTACGGCAAGAAGCTGTTTAACCAAACAGAGGAACTACTGTCAGAGCTCATTTAGGATTTATCAGCGTGGTATCCCCTAAACCCTAAACCCGAAACCCTCAACCGTGTGTCTTCAGGATGCTTACGTTGCCGCGATGCATTGGTCGCTCACGCAGTTTACTCCTGCGACGAATCCCATAGCTCCGTTCAACGGCTGGGAACGGCTTCCTGGCTGGATGTTTGGTGTTAAGTCTTCGGTTGTGTCACAGTAACACCAACTTTCATGTGATTGTGACGAGGGTGTTGGTCGCGATTTCCATTGCGACGACTATCATCCATAGTGGTCCGTTCAATGTAGTGTTGATATCTGTGCACGTCTCATGTTCGGTAATGTAGGGCCTTCGTAATTCGAATAGGGCTTTGGGGCTCATGGTATTATGATTATAACAGTAAAGCCGCGTTTCGTTTAGGTCGAATGTCATATGTACTTATACATGCATATGACATACGCATAAATTTATATTATATGTCTCTATATATGTATGTAAGTATTTAGAATATATTTCTATTCTAAATATTTACATATACATATTGCATATGACAGAAAATATATCTATATGTGTGTGTACACTAAACAGATAAGTAGAGAAAGGTATACAACTAGATAAAGAAGTAGATACAGAGAGAGAGAGATCCACACATGGACACAAAGCAGTCGTTCTCTTGATTGCATCGGGGAAGGACTTCCTGCACAAGTGAGCGGAGTTGTCCTGCACTTTTTGTGCCATGCCGGGCCAGCCTCGAGATAACACCAAAGCAAGGTCTACGAACTTGGGTTGCATTGGTTTCCGAATCCGATCAAGGATTCTGCAAGGATCCGATGACCTGCGGCTCCATTTAAGTGTTCGACTTCTGCAATACACCTTGGCTTTCAACAGCTTCGACAGATACCGTATGGATTTTCACCCAAAACATGGCACAGTCACAGGGCGGGCGGCCTGTTCTGATTACTGGGCTTTTGCAAGCATGTTCACAAGCTCCTTTCACTGCTCCACCCTAAACCCCTAAACCCTAA